CCGGCGAGCGGGGGCTGCGGTCCGCGAAGGGAGGGACGAAGGGTGCGAGGAGGCCCCGCGGAGCCCTGAAAAGGCTCCGGGAGCTGCCCGGTGTCACTCGTGTCCTGCGCGGGGCCCTGAAGAGGCTGAAGGAAGCTGGGGTGAGATTCACCTCAGGCAGCGTCACCCGGGATAAAGCACATTTCCTTCTGCTTGAGCATAATTTAAGAAATCGGCAGGCAGGGTGGGTTTTTTCTCCCCCCTCCCCCCAACGCTGTTATCACTAGATAATGCAAAGGCTGAACGTTACCCTTTTCTTTCTTGCTTTTGTAAAATGGCTTCAAATGATTCTCAGGTTGTTGTGCACACGACCTAGGCTTGGGTGACACCTCCCTTTAGGTTTCTGTGGGCTTCAGCCTGTCTTATTCGACAACGAAACACTTTTAAGAATCACAGCTATTTCAGCTTTTTACAGTAATAATTTGTGCTCCCAAACTTAGGGTTTATAGATCTCTTCAAGCACTAGGGAATTTTTTTACCAGGACAGTGCAATTCACTTTGAATTTATTGTCCTGAAACTGCACAGAGCATTCTCGGGAGCTGCGAGTCTATGTCATGTACACTAAATTTTGAGCTTTTGTTTGTTCTGCTTGGACTGTTTACTTAAATTAGCCAAGTGAACTGCATTTTTAATACCAGTTCTAAGGAATAATCTGTTATTTCGTTTGTTTCCTGCCTACTGTGCTAAGGCAGATGGCTTTCATGTCAGTAGAAATACTGTATCAAGCTATGAATTATGAAAAATGTTTTTAGAAATGAAAGATTAAAATAAAATTGTCGACAGAGTTTCAAGAAAGTTCGTGGTAAAGTTAGCTTACTCGCTCTGGAAAATGGCTGACAATTTTCCTTGGTAGTTTTCTGAAAAGATCACTACAAATGCTTTTATTTTTGCTTTACACTTTTTTCATGGCCGTATTTCATTTCAGCAACATCCCAGGAACACTGGAGATCCTCGTCTGTCAGGCAGCGGCAGGAGCAGCTGCTGTGGGAGGGCAGGTGAGCGCGGAGCTGAGGGTGATGGTGCGGGGTGTCCCACAGCGCCCGGCCAGAAGAGCAGAGCGGGGACAGGGACAGTGACCGGCGTCTGCGGCAGCCAAGGGATGCGCAGACCAGCCCGTGGTGACAGGCAGATCTGAGGTGGCTCTGGAACGCAACTCAGCAAACCTAGGAGCAACGACGCGGTGCTGAGCGCAGGCACAGCCCCAGCATAGCTCAGACAGCGCCCAGGGCATGGCCCTGAGCTGAGATGCTGCTCCGGAGCGGAGGGCACACGCTCCCAGCACAGCATCTCACGGTTCTGTCTTGTAGCAGCCTTTACCCCAGGTTACGGCTGCACCGTGCCAGAGCTGGCCTTGGGGACAGGCAGCCAAACCCTTGGGCGAGAGGGGAGGAAGCTGCAGGACCTATTGCTGCGCTCAGGGCCCTGAAAGCATTTTCTTCAGTACACTTCTGTAATTACACTTTTCTTCATTATTTACTTACTGTAATATAATTCATGTGAAGAAATCACACTGAAATATTTGATTTTTTGATACCTGGAATGTTTAAAATATAATTTATTCTAATTGATATACTGTTTTAAGATTTTTTTTAAAGAAACAGTGAAATCTAGGATGATTATTTTTAAATACTTAAATTTAGGATGATTTAAAGTATTATGTTCTAAAAATAATCTTTAATGTAACTGTCAGCAAATTTCCATTTGTTCATCTGGAGCCACTGAACTGAATTTTTCAGCTATACTCCCAGTGCATATATTTTAATTTCCTCCCTGTCTCATCCTCTCTCAGTGGCAATCAGTTACTCAGAAATTTAACTTCCATCTGTCACGCTCAAATAGAATTGGGAGGGGGGGGCAACTTAAAAAAATGCAGAAAAATAGTTTTAAAATTACATATCAACATTTTTAAAGCTTTTTAGAAGGACAATTCCCACTGCCATTAGCCAGAATTGTGTTTCTGACTCCCTGATGTGCCTTTAAATATCTCATTCACTATATTAAAAAAATCCCATATCAAATTGTTGACATTTTCTGTTTGCTCTTGCTCATCCACATCATTTCAACTAGAGCTTGTCTTATGAGAAGCAAAACTTGTTGATTTAAAAGAACATGCTTTACACATGCTTTATAAGTTACAATAACCAGAAAAAAAAGGAAACTACCTTCAAATCAGCCTATAGGCTAAAATTAATGGAAAGCTGTAGCACATTTCTGCAGAAGGAAAGGAGGTAGATCAGGGCAGGGACACAACAGAGTGTGACCAAATGTCAGAGAAGAAAAGGCACAACATTGATGTTTGCGTGAAAACAAGGGGAATTAGCTAGGAAGATAGCCACTGTCACAACTAGCTGGTAACAAGAGAGTGATACAGGGTGCATAATGTTCTGTACCGTCAAGAGCATGCCCCTTGCTCAGCCTGGTCCTGGGATGCATGCACCCAGGTGAGATGAAGAGCTCCAGTACAAAAACTGGAAGAAGCAGGGTAAAGAGAAATGTTGATCTTTCAGTATCTGCAACTCTGAAATTATTTTCCGCTTTTTTATGTCGCATTGCAACACATTATTGACAGGTATCCTGTCACCAACAGAGTACATTCCATGGACGTTCCTGTTTTGGAGAGAACCACAGAAAGTGAATCTCTTCACACTAGATGTCTTTTGTCACTGGTGTGGGCTTTACATGAGGTTGCCGAGCTCTTGTCAATAATATTTGTGAAGCACATAGCTATTTTAACAGACTTTGCTGAAAGAGAGGAAACATTAATTCTGTTAACAAACCCATTCCACCACCAAATTGTAATATGATATTTGAAAGAAGTCCTAAGTAGAGTAAAACGCTTTTAGTCTAATAATTATTCTGATAATTTGGTACATTTCCAACACTAAATCAATAATATACAATTCAATATAGCATATTTCCAGAATAGAATAAAAGAGGTGGTGTTAAGGGAGTACCATAACTGAGTTGTAATTTAAGTGACAAATGATTATATACCTATTAGTTATCCTTCCTAGATATTTGTCACTTGAATTCTACAAGATTAATTATTTTTATAGTGTAATATGTAGGTAAAAGCTAAATGCATTTGTATATTTAACTTTAAATACAGTTTTTATTTACAGGATATATTCACACCTTACCTTGCAATCTCAGATGACAAATTCGATTGACCATTTTGTTGTAGTAAGCTCAGTGTAGCTCTCATAAGAAACACACTCATTTCTTCAGCCTAGTAATCATATGGGTTTAGTGATATTTATGTGATGGATTCATAGCAGCTCTGGAATAATTTAATAATCACATTCTGTATGTTAGTTTGGATGTTTATGAACATACCAACTTAATTTACAGAAGCTGTGTTAGAAGGAATAGCTCATTATAAGCCATCCATCAACAAATATGCAGAAGTCACTGAGAGACAATAAAACCTATGAAAAAATCCCTGAGATGTAAGCAATAAGAGAAGAATGACATTTAAAAAAGAACCTTTGCAAGAGGGATTTCCGTTTGTGAAAATCAGATAAGCATAAAATCTGCCTGAGGATTCTGAAGGTGCCTAACTAATTTTCTGGCAGGAGGTGATAAATCCTGACATAATACAGACATAGAGGCAGAGTGCTGTTTCTAAATATTTTGTTTCTAGTTTAAACTCAGAACTACTGCTTTCTTAAGCAGCTTATGAGATCACTGAAGGGAAGAACAGAAAGAGCTTGGATTTAGTTGGATTTGCCAGGTAAACTGATTGATAAGTCATACTGTAGGCTGGGACCTAGTCTAAAAGTGGAGAATTGTAAGAATTTATGCTGTAATCAGAAACCTGAAAACTAAGGGT